CTATATATTTGAGTCTGCTCAAATATGCCTCTGTCCCTACACCAGAAAGAGGCACCACCAGAAAGAGGCTCACCAGAGGTGAGCACTTGGGGCAGTAAGTTTTACTCAGATGAGTAGTCATGGAACATACATGTGATTTTCTTCAGAGTAGTGCTAGAAAGGCTGCATGAGTCACCATGTCCTGCTCAGTGAAACTGAGATCTGTGCAGAGTGCACGGGCTGGGTTGCATTAAACTGCAGCATGGTATGATCTTCAGCTCTAGTCTGAGTCTGGGTAACAGAAGTCCTTTCTTAACTCGCTCAGTCCAGCACTGACAACCATCCATTGTTTACCTTTTCTTTGCCTAGGCCAATGCCCAAAGAATTCTACAAAAACTAGAAGATGTACAAGAAATGTTTGACAAGAGGCAAGTAAGTCTGAAGAAGCTGGCAGCCAAACAGACCCGGCCAGTGCAACCTGTTGCCCCACATCCTGAATCTTCCCCAAAGCGAGCATCACCAAAGATTACCAGACCTGCAGGAGTAGGTAGGCCATAAACAGCTGCTTTCAGATACACACCAATGTTTTGTCCACATGATCATGTTTAATTTTTGTCAGAATGAAAACTTGCATTTGATGTTCAGTGTCAGCCTTGTAGGCCTAGCTGTTAAAAATGAATGTGAAATATCTGTCACTGCAAACATGCCAACAAGGGTGAAGCAAAAAAAGTTCAAGCATCTCTTCCTAGATCTAATCTACAGAGTACATTTCTATACTGTTTCTCAGTATGTTTTATATTGCTAATTCTTGAAAGCCCAAACCAGGCTAGTCACTGCAAGTATGCAAAGTAAGCATGAGAACCTCTTTTACATTGCATATACTGTAATGTGAGTATTTGGCTTTAAAGGGTCACAATCCCTCAAGTTTCAATCAGATGCTTGCAAAGGTTTAGGGTTCATTAGTGACACTGACTCATTTGTGCAATTTTTGGTTTTTCCCTCTACATAACTGTTTATTCACTTTCTAGCATTGTCCTCTACTAACTATAAAAGTTGAACATTGCTTCTATTTGGAATTAACTGAAAGTTCCTGATTTGAGGTTAGCATGTGCCTTTAACAAAGATAGGTATTTTCTGCAAAAAAGACCATGGTGAAGCTAATTTGGATCTTGGAGACCAGCTACCTTGTACTTGGTGGCAGGAAGGGATTGTCCCTTTTCAGCAGAGATGGTTATAAGAAATTAAAAAATGGAACCTTAGGGCTTTTTAAAAGGGGAACCTTTAGCAAAAAGCCTTGAAAAAAAAAATTTGCTTGAAGAGCATGGATTAAACTTTGCTTTCTCAACAGGAAGATTAGGACAGCCAGTAGCCTGACCATTTTGCTTTCTAGGCATACTATCACAAGGTCACACAAACGTCCCTGTTGTTCTCCTCTGCTCCCCAATGCTCATCCTTTCTCACCAAGGAAGATCATAATCTTGTTCCAGTTACCATGCCGGTTTGACATCTGTACTTTTTTCCCCCAAACCATGCTAGCCATGTTCTTAACATATACAGTTGCTACCTCAAGTTTCAGCTTCACTATTGGCTTAAGGCAAGGTGAGACCACAATGCCTTTGAAGTTTCTGCTCTGCTACCCACACATCTTCCAGCAATGTGTTCCCCTCCTGCACTGTTGTTGGCAGTCAATTAGCTGTATGAGTTGTGATTTACCTTGAAAACTCAATGAACTGACTGCAAAAATGTAGTAGGTAGTTTTCCATTGGATGAGTTAGAAAAACATAGGGAGCTCTGGAGACCACATAGCCCAATCACCTGCTCAAAGCAGCGCTAACTTCAAAGTTGATCAGATTGTTCACTGCGTGGCTACTAGTGCTGAAGCAAAGAAAGTTGCAGAAAAATGGAGTTATGGGGTCAGAGCTAGGTAGTCCCCGTTAGTGGTAGTACAGTTTTAGAATGGCTTTCACCTATTGTGAAACTGCACCTTCAGGCTAAAAGCTAGTCTTGCATTTCTGTTTATGCATGCAGTCTCTGTGTTTGTTTCTTGAACTTCTTTCTTGTCATATTAGAGCCCTGGCAGATTTTTTTAATTAAACTTTTGGTATAGATAGAACCTTAAAAAATAGTCGTTAGTATATAAACCACAATGCTTTAAGTTTTGATTCTTATTCATACAGCCAATCCAATATTATCAGCTCTTTCACAGGAAATCATGAGATGCTCCCTTGCTCTGACCCTTGCATTGCAGTTCAGTGTTATAAAACACAATACAGGATAACTGTGTGACAAGGATTAGCCTCTGATGTCCTGTTGCAATTTAATAGGTAGATGAAATTTATTTTAAAATGTTACTCCAGTTGTTCTCTGAGGAGATGCAAAGTGCAACCCAGTCCTGTTCAGACATTCGTAAGTAGACTATAGCATCTCATTCAGATTCTTTGGGCCTGAAGATGATTGACCTAGAGTGCCTCTGTACAAAGAAACAGAAGTCCCTGGCTATCTACAGCTTATCCTGGGGCTCAGGATTTAACTGCTGTGAACAGTACATTTATATTTACATATATATGTGTAATATATTTACATATACTGTGTAATGGCATCCTTTGGGTATTATCCAATTGTCTAATACAAAGAGTTTTACTTTTAATTTCCTGAGTGCCCTTTCCCTCAGAATGCCAAAGCACTTGGCAAGTACCGGTAAGTATTTTAACCTCTTTTTTTCAGAAAGAAAACTGAAGCACAGATAAACTGAGTGATTCACCAAGGGGTTTCACAGTCTGAGTCTGAAATGTGGCTGAGAATAGAAACAGGGACACCGAGTCCTATTCCAAGCCTTGAAAATGAGGCTGTGGAATTCTGTTCTTCTTGAGCTTTCTTCTTTTGGACTTTCCTCTGTGCCCTTTTTTCACATTCACAGGATCAATGCAGAATCAGCATTTATTTATGGGGAGAATTTATTGAGCACCATCTTGGAAAAATGAAAGAGGCTAAGAGCACCTTCTTGAAACAGATATTGTAACTCATTGTTATTTGTTACCCAGGACATACCTGAATATTTCTAAAAGCTTGCAAAATAGAATATGGCAACAGGAACATACCATGTTCCTAGGCTGTGTAAATACAAAGGCAGGCAAAGGCAATAAAATGTGGTAAACAGAAATAGAAGACCAGAAAGAAAGGCTTTTGTCCCCAGGCAGCAGATGTAACAATACCACGGCAGCATTGCAGTGGTTGTCTGTGAAAGGAAAAAAAGTTACATTTGTTCCAGAATAGATTTTGTTTTGTTTTGCTTTGTTTTTACTTGCTGACTCTCCATTTCCCTAACAAGGAGTGGTAGGAAAATTCAGTCCAATTCAGGGTGCTAATGGAAAAATCTTAGCAGATGCGAAGGCTCAGGCATGAAATACCCCATTACTGTAACTGTGAGACTCTTCATTTTACATGGATATATACATAGGTGCATACAGGCAGAGCTGATACCATGCGTGAGAGAAAGGGCAGATTTCTCTGCCAGATTTTCTCTCCACTGGTGAGGCCGCACCTTGAATACTGTGTTCAGCTTTGGGCCCCTCACTACAAGAAGGACGTTGAGATGTTGGAGCGTGTCCAGAGAAGGGCAACGAGGCTGGTGAGGGGTCTGGAGCACAAGTCTTATGAGGAGCGGCTGAGGGAACTGGGGTTGTTTAGCCTGGAGAAGAGGAGGCTGAGGGGAGACCTCATCGCTCTCTACAACTAACTACCTGAAAGGAGGTTGTAGCGAGGTGGGTGTCGGTCTCTTCTCCCAAGTAACTAGCCATAGAACAAGAGGAAATGGCCTCAAGTTGCGCCAGGGGAGGTTTAGATTGGACGTGAGGAAAAATTTCTTTACTGAAAGAGTGGTTAAACATTGGAACAGGCTGGCCCGGGCAGTGGGTGAGTCACCATACCCGGAGGGATTTAAAAGACGGGTAGATGAGGCGCTTAGGGACATGGTTTAGTGGGCATGGTGGTGTTGGGTTGACGGTTGGACTTGATGATCTTAGAGGTCTTTTCCAACCTTAATGATTCCATGATTCTATGATTTCTATCAGGGCAATGACTGTGACAGTTTCTTATGTGTATGTGCTTATGGTCTCTGATGACTCTTGTCACAGTCTTAGCTTGGTGAAGATCCAGAAAGGCAGCTCAGAGCTGCACTGTAAACTCTCCCTCACCCAATGCTTTTCTATGGGTCTGGAAATTCTGAAGCAAAATTTTAAATTCATCCCATTTTTGCTTGAAGCTTTTGGTTTCACAAATGAACTTGTAAATTTCGCAGGGACAGGCCTGTTCAACATTGAAAAACTAGTAGTGGAATTATCAGGATGCTCAAAAGATTATGCCAGCTGGACTTGATGCACATTTTTAGCTGTGGGAATCTGCTTAAATATTATTCACAGATCAACCCAGAAAAGGCAGAAAACCCTCTGCTGACCCTTTTATAATAAGTGCCTTGAAAATATTTAAGTAGTATATATGACACCTTACTTCAAGGAGAGCTCTGTTTACTCCCAATGGAAGCTGCTTGAATACGGCTAATGGCCAAACTTGTCCCTGTATATGTTGGGAGGAAAGAGGTGGCACTTGATGGGGAAATTCCTTTGCTCTAGTTCACTTCTGGGCGCACCATTTTTGATGATTTGCCTACGTGTTTGTGGACTGCATTTCTGTACAAAACTCCTTAGCTGGAGTGAATTGGGATAGGTCCACAAAGTTAAACCATGCAGGCTAGTATTGCCCATAGGCTGTCAGGCACAGTGGGATAAGCCACAGAGCTGTAAAGGATAATATAAGCTATTAGGGATGACTGTAGTTAGTATTTCTCTATTTTCATTTGCTTGTAATTCTCCCAAACTCTAACTCTTTGGAATAAAAATTTCCCAAAGGCTATCTTCTTCAGCCTGACGCTTTCTTGGAAAACTTCAGTAAAAAATGGCTTGGCCATTTCAGTGAACAAGGCTAGGAAAATTATCTTGTTTTAGTTACCTTTGTGGGAAGAGCAGGAACATGGCAGTACAAAATAGTTTTGTCCCTTCCTAAAGTGTCCAGATTTGGCAGAATTATAAGCACTTGGGGAAAAAAGAATCTCAGCTCATACACGTTCATTATGTATGAACTTGCTACAGTTTGGCTCCTATAGTCTCATTTCCTTTGTTGTCAGCAAAAATCTTTGGAACCCAGACGCAAAGTATGTTTCATATGCCCTGTACTGCTCGTTTCCTTACAGTATGATCTTTCAGCAGCTTAAGCCCTTCTTAACGCAGAGCTGTCACCGTCTCCCTTTCTCCTCTCCTCTTTGCCCAGCACAGCAGTGTGTGTGTGACTCTGCTTTCCCTCAGTACTTATGGTCACATAACTAGTGGGAAAGGAGGGAACTGAAAACTGCCACTGCGCGGGAGTGGGGTGTTTTGTTTTGGCTAGTTCAGCTCCTCATCATCCTGTTCCATGGACAGCAAGTGCTGACAAAAGAAGGAGACAGAAGTGTGTGGCCAGAGGTTGGGAGGAAAGGGAGAACTGTACCAGACCCAG